CTAGTGCCAGGAGAAAAATGAGTGTTGAAACAACTGCTATTAAAAAAAAAAAAAAAAACCCTTTGCAATCTATGAACCAAGGACACTGCTCATAAGCTGGGGGTAAAGGAGGATACCCTTCCTCCCTTTGTATTGGATGTTTTGTGTGTAGCAGAAAATATCCACCCGCATCACCAGATGGGCAGGATATTCAAGTTTTTGTTTTCACTGATAGTTCTGTGAACTGCCTTTAAGAACAAATCAGAAACAAAAAAGAGAACTGCAAAAAGCAGCCCAAAAAATTTCCAGCCCTGAGTTTGCAAAGCATATGCTGTTTACTCACTTATTGTGAAGTCTTGAGCTTCCAGGTCAGGCCCCCACCCTTCCCTTCCAGCACAGTGACCTTTTACAGCTTGGGTGCTAATTTTTCCCACCCTGCTATCTTAGAACAAAACAAAGTAAAACAAAAACCCCCACAGTGGCATGAAAGCTTTTATCATCCTGAAAACATGCCAAATGCGAAGGCGATAGGCAATTCTGTGTCTCAGATGCCTTTTTCCTGGCATATTTTAAGTCCTTTGCTCAATTGCAAGGATGGTGGGAGCAGGAGTCGCCTGCAAACAGCAGGCTGTGAACCCACAGTTTTAAACAATCATGCTTAATTGCTCATAAATACCCAGGGGACCTGCACGTTCAAACACCAAGCAAGTACCAGACATACAGCCACTTGGCACATTGAGCCTGAAGGCTGAGATGCCAGGACAGTCCCTGCTTTGATACTGGCCTGGGAGAGCCACACAGACCAAACAGCCTTGGAGATGCTTTTTGAGGATCTCAAGTGCTCCAATCTGGTTTTGCAAGCAGAAATCCCTTACCCACTCCATAGCCCAAACTGCTGGGCTTCTTCTAACAAAAACTGCATGGGTTGAAATAGGATGTACTCCTGTTGGGATTTATTTTTTCAGAGAAAGAAAAAAGTGGTCCCTTGGCACACAACCCACAGCAACATCTATCCCAAGACCCAGCACTTCTGCCAGCTAATGATCTGCCCCAACACTGCAGTTCAGACCATCCAAGCATTGATTCAACACAAAATTGCTTGGAACTGCCTATGAAAAGAGAAGTGCCTGGGCAGACAGGAATTAATACCATTTCAATTTGTTTTTGCCCAAGGGAGAAAACAAGGAGGAAACTGGTCTGGACTGGACGTACAAATAAGCCATGAGAGGCCCTAAAAGGATGGTTCTGCCAGCCAAGCACTGTGCAAAATTGATAATGCCCAGGAAACTAGTGTTTGCCAAACAAAATCACTGCTCCTGCTGGGTCTCTGAGTACAGTCTGCACCTCAGAGGGGAGAGATGCCCACAGCACACGACCCAGGATGGAATTTTACAAGCCTGCCTATGGCTTCTCTCCCAACTTTCTCACTGTTCCATGAGAGTGCAGAGCAGCACATCACCAGGGCTGCAAAAAGAAGTGTGAGAGCACAGGTCAACTGCTGTATGAGCTGGTCCTGCAAGGATGCCAGGACTCCTTTATGTGTCATGTACTATGTAAAAACACAAGACAAAAAGAAAGCTGCAGAACTGCACAGCGCAGAAGAAAAGCAATAGAAGCACTCCAGTGTGTCACAAAAGCCTTCTTTCCTGCCCCCTGGCCTCCAGGCACACTGAATGCCCTATTCAACTGTAGTAGCAGGAGGACAAGAACATGAGGGACAATCTTCATCTACCTCAGTACATCCATTGTCTTCACCTTCTTCTCTCAGCCTCCATTCAAGCACAAAGATCCCACTTTTCTCAGGATCCAGCTAGCTACAAGATAGAGGGTAAGCAGTAAACTTACAGCCAAAACAAACACCATGTCTTACACATGCTGTTGGGAGTCACAAAGCACTCCAGCAGCTTCAGGCCAGCACTTTGGATCTGGAGTCGGCTGGGGGCAGGAATGGCTGTTAGCATACAGCATTCCTGTCCCAGGGCCATCTCCTGTTCTGTCCAGTCTGGTTCTCAGAGCTCAAAGTCTGGTATGGACTAACAGAAACAGTGAGAGACTGGAAAGAGTGCAGGTGGGAACCAACTAGAAGGTGGGAAGACATTTTGAGCTCTGACACCACCACAGCCCTTACAGATGCTGCTGTGTTCTGCCTGGGGCCCACAGGGCCCACAACACAAACCTCATGGCACTGACACAGGAGCAAACATTTGGCAGAGGAGAGGAGAGCACAGCCAGTCCTCTACCAGCCCCAGAGTGACGAGGTGGAGGATGGGACATGGCCAGCAGCTGCCTGTGGCCCTTGCCAAGACTCTTCTGCCAGACCTTGGCAGGAGGAAAGGTGGCACAGTGGCATTCTAACAAGCACCATCAGCAGTAAGGTCTGCATGGCCAGGGTTAAGAGGCAAGCATTACTGCCTTTGTTAAACAGAGCCAGCCCAGAGGAATCAAAAAAAGCATACTAGACATGCATAATTAAAGATGCCTGCCAGTTCCCATTATAGCTCTTTTAGGCACTAACTTGGATAGGAGTCAGCTGCAGCTCCCATGTTGCTTTCTTAAATGTTACAGATCTTACTCAGAAGTTGATCTGAAATAGGAAGGCTGGTTTTCTAGGTTAAGAAACACTGGAAAACTTTCTGTGCTTCAAAAGGCAGTGCCGTTTGGGAGTTTTACATAGGGATAACCTTCAGGACTTCTCCAGCACAAATTGCAGGCACCAGGAATAAAGGAGTTAGAGGGAAGGACCAGCTTTCCTTAGCTCTGATGCTCCTAGGCAACTGATGGTAACAAACCCATGCTGCCTGTGAAGAGCATATCCTCATGGTCCCCCCCCTCGTTTGGGGTGCCAGCACATCCATAGACTCCCCCCACCAAGCAATCTCTTCCAGCCCCCTCTGTTTCCCAAATGCTCTCAGGCTTGCAGGAAGGCACAGCCAGAGGCATGTAGAGAAGAGGCAGCTTATGTCTTCTCTGGGTTGCTTTGCTTAGGAGGCAGGCAGCCATAAGGCCAGCAAAGCTCAGTGCTCACAGCTCTTGCCTGATACTTCTAAACACAGACATTTTGCCCTGGGGAGAGGAGAAGGAGAGAAGTTAGGAGCTGGAGTGGGACTGAAATGGAGAACACAGGCAATGCCAAACTTAAGGAGGCATGGGGAAAGAGCTGAAGGACTGTGGAGAAGTCCTTTCACTTCAGAAAGCCTTTGTTTCCCAACTGCGTGTTGAAACAGGTTCTGTTCTCACAGTCCCAACCCCAGATTAGGAACAGGCTTTCTTTGAGATGAGAATGTTCCATTAAGAAACCAGCCAAAGGTCCAAGCTATGAAGGAACCCTCTTCCTAGCAGTATCTCCTGCCCAGGGAAGTCTGGCAGCTACCCCCACCAACACTGGCCCAGACGCTCATTTCTCACCAGGTCTCAGACCGTACTCCTTGCCCTCATTCCTCCCACTGCACCAAGCCTCCCTGAGATTTCTAAAGTCCAGTCCCCTTGAGGCTGTCTCTCTACCTGTGTGACCATGGGCTGAAGCAAGCCTTCCTAGCTATTCACATCTTCTTTCTTCTATGCAGCTGAAGACAGCCTGCGCACTACAAGCCATGGCACAGCAGGTAGATCATCTTGGAAAGCTGAGCCAACCTCAGCTTTCCTGCCCAATAACATTCTGGGGCACAAGGAGGATGTACAGTTGTGCCAAATATCTCACTCAAGAGAAGAGACAAGATGAGGGAATACAAAGACTGAGGGTGTTTGAGAAGCACACACAGGTCAAAAATCACAAAGGCGATGGCCAGCCTTCTGCCCAGCTGCAGATAGGCAATACTTGAGATACCAGCAATTCAAACAGGAATTCTAGCCCTAGCATCTGGCAAATGCACTCTGTTTCTAGTGCCAACTAAACATGGCTAAGTATGGCAGCAGAGTTTGAGTTTGTTAACCATTTCCACTACTTTACTCTCTCCATCTGAATGTTTTTGGATGATTTGACTGGGAAATGTTTTTGAACGATTTGACTGACAAATGTGACACCCGTCTTCAAAAAGGGCCAGAAAGATGATCCTGGTAGCTACAGTCCTATCAGTTTCACCTCGGTGCCCAGGGTCAACGGTTTATGGGCTGGTCCGGCCCAGTTCCGTGACCAGCAGGGCGGAGGGATCTGCGGATCCGCGCCTCTGGAAAAGGGGAAGCAGGGGACCCCAAAATACTTGAAAAAACAACAGCACTGATCTGAGGTGGAACAAATGATTTTACTAAATATAGTATTAGTAAACTACAAAGAGAGAGAGAGAGAGTCTGTTTGAATTGTATAGACCTCACCACAATCCTGGGGTGAGAAGTGCAGTCCAGTTGAATGACTGAAGTACAGACGGCGAAGTGCAGATGGCGAAGCACAGGCGGCGAAGCGCAGATAGCGAAGCGCAGACAAGGGGATTGAGTGCACCATCAGTAAATTTGCAGACGACACCAAGTTGGGAGGGAGTGATGATCTGCCTGAGAGGAGAAAGGCACTAACAGAGGGACCTGGATAGACTGGATTGATGGGCCAAGTGTATGAGTTTCAATAGGGCCAAGTGTCAGGTCCCCAGGGAGGTGGTTAAGTCACCATCCCTGGATGCGTTTAAAAACCATCTGGATGTGGTGCTCAGGAACATGATTTAGCAGAGGGTTGTCAGAGTTACAGTAGTATGGTTAGGTTGTGGTTGGACTCGATGATCTTTAAGGTCTTTTCCAAGCTGAGTGATTCTATGATTCTGTGATTATCGTAGGGCAGGCCAAGCAAGAAACACAAAACATGCCAAAAGGGATATGCATCACTTACTGAAAGCACACGCTCCCAGGGCAGGAAGAAGGCAAGTTTGTGATTTAGACAATCTGTAATTATTATAGGTGTCACATGCTGCAACAGCAGTCTTGCTGTTCACTGCACACAACACAAGAGAAAAAATGTTCTCTTAAGTCATTTTTCCATTGATGAGAATAAGCTCATTTTTCAGTTGGTATTTATCAAAACAAAAACCAGACAAACTCAGTACTGTACGAAAGTGCGTTTATTCCAAAGCTAAATTCTTCACACAAAACAATGGCTCTGAACAGCAGAATCAGTCCTTACACAGATCTACAACAGCATCCTGGGCTCTAGGGCTTGTGATCTTCAACATTCACAACAGAACTTCTTTTCATAGTAGTCAGCAAGGATTGGAGGGGGCAACAAAAACATCTGGCACAAATTAAAGAATTGTGTCACCAAAAGAGAAAAAGTGTCAAGACTTTTCACAGGAAGGTTGGTTTGTGCAAATATCTCAGAGAACATCCTGCTCACTGCAGGCTGTTCGCCAAGGAGCAGCCACCACCATCAGGAGGGAACTGCGTTATTCCTGTAGACAGAAAGCAGGACTGTTGGGTTGAATAATATGCTGGACTTTTTCCAAGGACTGAAGTGGCTAATAGGTCACATTCAGGATGTGCTTATTTGTGGTCTGGAGCCTGTGCACCAGCTTCATCGTGCACACTTGGTCCCAGCCGATGCCCTAGAGGGGCTTGCCTTCTTCCTGCCTTAGCCTCTTGGAGAGATGCTCACTGATGACCAAGAGGGGGTGGGCTTTGTATCTGGGATCTGCGATGACCTCATGAAACTGGGCCATTTCCTCTTCTCTGAGGAGAGAAAAAAAATCCCCACACTCAATTGGTTCATGCAAAAGAAACTGAGCAGATAAAAAACAAAAAAACAAAACTCATAAAGCAACAGGCTTCTGTACAGACAGGATTATCTCCAGTGTAAAGCTCAGAAAGAAACAATGCAAGAAATGGACCTTGTTTACCCAAGGGCAATGCTCAAATTGCTGCCAGATCTGTGGAAGCCAGTAGCTTGATCTCATGCCACAGACAGAAACAATCATGCTAGTGTCAACTATCACTTGGCATTTTTTTAGAGCTTCTCCCTAGTAAAACAAGAAAGACCAGGAATATTTGGTAAGTGTGCTTAGAATGAAGACTACTTCAGACCACACGAGAACAAAAGCAGATTCTGCACTTGCAAGCTCATCCACTGACTCTTGTTTATTGCTCAAACATACAGGTTTCCTATGTGCAACACTAGTTAGACACCTTGATAGGGGCATGAAAGAATTACCTCTATATACTTGGTCACAGCTGTTGCTGTGGAAATATTCTCCCAAAAAGCAATCAGGCAGGGAGGAATAAGAACAGAGCACAAGGAGTGTAAAAATAAAAAATTGAGCTTTCATGTAAGTCACCTTGATCATGGTCTCTCCTCACTCATGCAGACTCAGCGCCCCATTCCCCTGCCAGACACACATTTCCTTCCTCCCATGTTGTTGCAGATCAGATCAGCAGAGCATTCTTCAGCTTGCAGCAGGCAGCTAGTTCCCTTCCTACTTCATAGAACTGACAGGGACACCCCAGAAGCAGCGATCACAGAAAGCAAACACTGCACAGTCACAGAGCCTAGCTCCAGAAGAGTTGCACTGAGGGGAAATGAAGTTCCCAATGCCTTGTGGTCGTATAAAATATCAAACAGATTATACTAAGGAACAAAGAGTTGCTAGACTTTTTGTGAAATTCCAAGACTTATTCAAAAGTACTTCTTTTGAGTTTCACTTCATAAGAAAAGGTTTGGCAGATGTCAACACACAGCTGTCCCCACAAGGGATGCAAGGCTTATTACTTAACATCCCAAAGGTACTTCAGCAGAGCAGCTGTAGCACCTCATGCTATGCAGAGGTTAAAGAGATTCTCACCTACACAACCACCAGAGGCTTTCCAGGAGCATATCAGCTAGAGGTGCATGGGCCTTAGGAGATCGAGCCACAGCTGAGTGCTGCAATTCCAAATCAGAAAGCTGAGGCAAAGGGCACACCAGCCTGGCTGTGCACACTCACTTGGCTTAAATCAAGTAGGAATGTTTAGTATGGGCTTGTTCTGAAACCCCAGAGATCAAACCCAGGAGGCCAAAGCTAGGATTCTTTTCAGTGGGAAAGGAAAAGCAAACTCTTTCAGGAGTAAATGCAGCTTCCTGTGCTCTCTTACATGTTATATGAGACAGAAGTAAAAGTGGAGTGAATCCATCCACAATTGACTGAGTTTTAGTAGGGTTCTGAACAGGACACCTGCAATGTCCTGTATCATATAAAGAGAACTGGCTGCACAGAGAGGTTGTATGATCTTCATCCTTGGAGAAACTGAAAAGCCAGCTGAGCAAGTGGCTCCAGGTGACTCTGTCTGAGCAGAGTGGTGGACCAGATGGTCTCCAGAGGTCCCTTCCAATCCCAACCATTCTGTGATTTTGAGCAAGAATACCCAACATCTGATAATCAGGAACTTACAAGAGCCTGTGTTTCTGAGCTTGTTTCATCATACAGAAGTCTGCTGGTTCTGCCTTTGCTTTTACATGCCTGTGGAGAGAAGAAACAAAACAGAGAAGAGGTAACTTAGCAATTGCTGTTGAGATGGAAATTGTTCAGTGGCTCTTCATCTGCCTTCCCAGGAAGTACAGGTAATTGTTCTGAAATCATAGAATCATAGAATGGCCTGGGTTGAAAAGGACCACGATGCTCATGCAGTTCCAACCCCCTGCTATGTGCAGGTCACCAACCAGCAAACCAGGCTGCCCAGAGCCACATCCAGCCTGGCCTTGAATGCCTGCAGGGATGGGGCATCCACAGCCTCCTTGGGCAACCTGTTCCAGTGCCTCACCACCCTCTGGGTGAAAAACTTCCTTCTAATACATAACCTAAACCTCTCCTGTCTCAGTTTAAAACCATTCCCCCTTATCCTATCACTATCAACACATGTAAACAGTCATTTCCCCTCCTGTTCAAGTACAGAAAGCTACAATGAGGTCTCCCCAGAGCCTTCTCTTCTTCAAGCTAAACAACACCTGTTCTCTCAATCTTTTTTGTAGGGCCCCAGCCCTCTGATCATGTTAGTGCCCTCCTCTGGACTCGTTCTGCGTCTTTCTTGTACTGGGGCCCCAGGCCTGGACACAGTACTGCAGATGGTTCCTCACAAGAGCTGAGTAGAGGGGGACAATCACCTCCCTCTCCCTGCTGGCCACCCCATTTTTAATGCAATTTTTTCCATAGCCAGACGGTAATGGAGATGCAGACTCCTTCCATCACACAACGATGACAACTCTGGAGTCATGACCAAATGGACAGGAGGTAAATGCACTATTTTTATAAATAAAACTATCATTTAGTCCTAGAATGATCTTCAGATGATCATACTTGAATCATCTGCTGCTTCTCTCTAACTTCTAGCTCGAAACTATACCACTGCTTAGAGAAAAGATACCACGGAACTTCCTCACTGGTCATGTATCACCCCTCCACATCTCACGTTCCTTGTTAACACTGCAGAGCTTCAGCATTTGCATGAGCCATTACAGGCATTGAAAGAGAGCTGCCAGTCATGCTGCAGGACTGTAAGGCTGCACATGTATTTTAAAAATGGTAGCATTCCTTTCTCCTTGGAAGCATACACCCTCACCAAATGTTTGTGAGTTTAAGTTAGCTACCGTGTGCAGCTAAGGCACAGCAGCAAGTGCAGATATGCACTCTCTGCAGCCATTTTCTATTGCTGAGCAAAGTCTGAGGAGGTGTAACCCCATCCTGCTCAGCTGCTGAAAGCACATGATGCCTAATGCCAAGCAGCAACAGAAACCTACAACAAAGCCAAGGGACATGTAGAAATGGCAGTGGGACTTGAAGTGCACTAAGACGGAAAATTATTGGAAAACTGGACAGCAGGAAAAAAGAGCCACTGAACTAGAACATCAATGGTATGGTGGCAGCTGGTGGATAAAGCTTCTGCATGAAGAAGCTCTGAGTTCAGGGAAGAATAAGACTTCGGAAGAGAAGGAAGGCTCTGCCTGAAGATGTATACTAGTAAAGGACAGCACAAGGTATTGATTACTCCAATATCAGTGCCTACAGCTGCTCCTGTGAAAGGATTCCATGACATAGAGCCTTGGGCAACACAGCAAAACTAAGAAAGAGGGCAGGAGTCTGATCCTTTGCTAAGCCTACGCACCAGGCTCCCAGCACAGCCAGAGCAGGACTGCATTACTCTCCCTGCTTCTCAGAGTGCATTCTGGGAAAAAACCTATCTTCCTCTCTGACCCTAGATCTTTCATTCTTTAATTTTTCCATTTTCTCTTTTCTCTTTCCTGCCTGCCCCATGTCTCTTCACCCTACACGGCTTCATCATCTCTCACCACTTGATCACCTCCTGCTCCTCATCTCTCCCTCTGCCCATCCTGGAACATTTTATTTTTCCTCAGATCCCGGTGGACACAAGCTGCTGTAGGCTGCTCTCCTGCTATTCAATTCCCCTCCAGCAGAGGATACTGCCAAAGCTGCCTGACAAACCAGACACACCCCAACAAGGCGGATGTACATCAGTCAGCACCCAGCCTACATGAGGACCAGGAGCCAGGCAGTTGATGCTCTCACACTGCTCACATACTCTCAAGGCCCTTTTGAGGTCACCCTAGCACAGCCAGCATTATGCAACAGATCCGTCAGCAGATGAGAAACTGCAATCAGCAAGAGCAGGCAAACAGCCACAGGGTTTGAGCAGTTTGCGTCATGTTGCTGCATCCAGTGGTATAGCAAGACAGTGACAGAACAGACAATCTTTGTATTCATTAACCACTTGGCATGGGGATGGTTTCCTGTTCACCATCCTCATTTGCCTAGATTGCTTATGGCATCACAGAGAAAGCTCTTCACAAGTTGGACAGCAATCCATGCTCACCAGAGCAGGGGCTTGCAGCCTCTGTGGCTGCTTCACGGTGCACCAGCCCTCTGAACAAGGAAAGTGTATGGCCACAACCATGCCAGCATTTACAGCTCATGGACTTTGAGCTGATTGCAGTTTATAAACATGAAGCAACCCTCCCAGAGCTCTCTGCTCACTGGCTTTATAGGTTATACCTAAACCAGGCACCACAATATTCCACAGCAAGGAGCAGTGCAGCACAGAAAGCTTCCTGTTTGCACTGCCTCTGCAACTTGCTAACTTTTTTGATGTCCCTTATGTCTCGCAATGGAGATGAATTATTTCCTAACTGCATTACACTTACCTAATATAGACTATTATATCCCAAGCTTCTCTGTCTCCAACTCCTATCCAGGCTGAGGACTCCTCAGATCACTAAGCGACCCCTTCTGCAGAAGCTGGGCCAAAATCTTCACCATCTTCCTTTCAAGTTCTACTTTATCTTCTGAGGTCGTCCACAATTGCAATCTGCACTGACACTGTGAATTTCTTCTGGGGAAAGCAATCCCCAAAAGAAGCAGTCAACCCATTCTCTCTCCCCCTGTACTTGCTTTCTGCAAACCATTCCCTCCATACAGCCGTGACTTAACCTCCAAGGTGGACAATAAGGAGGGAGAACCACCCCTGAACACAACCTGGAGTCAGATGCCATATATGGTTGGACATGATTGTGGAAAGAAGTCAAAACCAACTGTTTCCACTCAGGTTAAGTCTTGGTCCAGCACTCCACTCCCTTGCAGAACTCTGTACTTTTGCTGCTCATTCCACTGAGAGGACAGACTGACTGAACGGCCGATAAAAAAAATGTTATTCAAAGAATTAAGAGCCAAGTTCAGAAAGGAAATATTTTCCCAGGCTTAGATACAAGATACGTATTTGCTGTTTGTTAGAAGGGTGACTTTCCAGAAGAACAGCACACTGCCAACTCAGTCACGCCCTGTAGTAGCTGGGTCAGAGTTTCTTTCTGGGGCACCCCACAGCTCACAAGAGGTTCTACGGTCATTTCAGCCTTGATATTCAACCAAAGAAAAGGGTGCTCTGCAAGGCAGCCTTATACTTGGCTATCCTCTAATCCAAATGCTTGCTTAATATGATCAAAATAAGTTTGCAGTTTCAACCCCTACTGAGTAAGTAGAAGTACGAACATTTGTTCACCACGCAGAGCTCTTCTATTCTGCACTAGGAGATGGAAAAGCATCTGCAGCACTGACTGAGCAGGCAGTGAGCGTTGCACCAAAAAGGAGAAAACACAAGGACAATCAGAACACACCCTAAGGCTGGCTGGGATGGCTGAAGCGTGAGTGTCAGAGGATCAGAAATAGTTCTTCTCTTTCAGTACAATAAAGGGAAAAGAACAACCATCTTGTACTCTCATCCAAAATCATATTCCAAGCCAGCAGGGTGAACAGAGAGTCTGTCTAGACAGTAAATCTCTGCTCGGCTTGAACTGTTTTGGGAGAAAGCCTGAAAGTTTGGAAGGACAGAACACCGGGCTGCATCATGGTCAGCAGCTCATGCAGGAAGAGAGCAAACAATCCCAGCAGGCAGTACTGTGCTTTGAATCCTAGCTCTCCAGATCTGCTTCCCTCTGTCACACCAGTTAGGTGAATTTGGGAAAGCCATCAACCCCATATTTGCCACCTGCAAAACAAGAATTAGTCCCCTTTAAATACTACAGCCTCCTATAAAATATAAGATTCCTTTTATTGCAGCAAACACCATTTCCTGAAAATGATGAGAACAACCTTCATTATAAAACATTCATTATAAAACACATCTCAAGTGCAGATCCACAGGTGAGCTCAGCAGCACTACACTCTGGACGCTTGTGTATCAGTCCTTCCATTCAGAATATCCAGTCCCTCCCAGTCTGTCTCATGCCAAGTCACCTTTAAGCAATACAGTTCTCATAAATGTGGATTCAGAAGGCATATTTAAGCTTCTTGCAGCAAGAGTAACAAAAAAAAAGCGAAATGTAGGTGAGGTCCTGTTCTCCTAACTATGGGCCCCAAGCTTGTATCGTTTGTAGCTACAATCTGAGCTGGAGAGTGCTTTAACTTGCAGGAAAAAGGGAAATAACACAGCCCATTACTAAGAGACACATACCTCTTGGATGGCTTCCTGCCCTTGATACCTGTGGTCAGATCAGAGAGCTCAGGCAGGGCTTCCATCAGTGGCTGCATGTCTCCCACAACAGGTGTTGCCTTTCGCTTTGCTTCAGCTTTTTGCTTCTGCTTGGCTAGCTTCACACTTTCTATTTCTGAATGAGAAACAATAATTTAATTGGGTAAGTAGAAATGTTTTTCAAACAATGGTCTCCTACCAGAGGCATGCAGTAGACAAAGATGAACTTAATTTCAGTTTTTCACTCAGAATTGGACAAGTCAGTGGGAGGTGTGAACAGAAAGCTGTGCAGTCCTTGAGGCTCTCTGGTGCAGAAGTGCAGCTGCTCAAGCCTTATGGAACCAGAAACCCCAGCAAAACACATTCTCTTCCACACCAGCCCACAGATGCCTAGCTGGATACCCCACCTGTCCCAGACATCCCTTTACAGTACCATCAAATCAACCCAGCAGCATGTGCAAGCACCCACTTTCTCCTGCCAGGTGGGCCTCGAAACCTGCAGCATTGCCTTGACGTTCAAGTAGTTGGGGTGGAGTGAGACACAACGGGAAATCCTATTTTCTCTTCATGCACCCAAGGGAAGCTGCAGCTCCCAAGGCCTCTGCTTGTCACGGCATTGCAGAACTGGAGAGGTTAGACATGATGGAGCAGAACAACAGCAGCTGCACAGCCAAGAGCACTGAGACAGGAAGGCTGTGGGCTTCCAACACAAGGCCACAGAAGCAGGACTGAATCTGCAGTACTTTTAGTGGAAATATGAAAGCAGCCAGGCTACAGAGCACAGGCAAGATGCCACCTGGGATTCTCAGTCTAACCCAGATGATCACGTTCAATAATGCTGAACTGAAACTTAATAGCTAGCTGCTTGCACCTTTAGTATTTTTGTCTTGTTCACCCCCTAACTAAGCTGTTTCAGTCAAAGAGCAATGGTTTCTGATAACGTGTAATATTTATTGCACATGGGTGTTTTTTTTTTACAATCTGGATTGTAAAAGCTTCTCTGCACAGCAATCCCTGCCAAGAACACAGCTTTCCATTCTACATCACTTCTTTTTATGGTCTGGCTTTATGAGTACTTCAGTACTTTCATAAATAGCATGCACTCAAAATTTTCAGACACCTGATTCTGCACAACCATCCCAAATTCTTTTCCAACAGTATCTGGTGTCTGAGAAGCCATACGATGTGTGTATTTTGAAATGTGCATACTTCTAATGTTTGAATCATTACCTAATTTTTTTCTCTTCTCTAGTCTCTCCTACAATGATTTATTGGAACTGAAGAAATCTCCCAAGTTTTGCATTTGCACTACTGGGCTGAACTGTAGTTCTCAGGGTCTTGGCATCCAGTGTCAAGAAAACAGTTCTGGGATAAGAAGAAACAACAAACTCTTGGGAATATTTAGGAAAGCACAGATTTAATGGTAATAACTATCTTCTCAGACAGAAGTAGTTCGACCTGAAATTTTCTATCTTGGTTCCTTACTGAAGAAAAGCTGACATATTTTATTTATTTTCCACCAGTTTGTAGCTTTAGAGCAGAGAGGAGAAAAGAGGCCATTTTAAGGGCCAGAACAACATACCTAATCTTGAGTAAAATTGATTCTATGAAAGCATACATACAAGAGGGAGTGATTAAAAAGAGCATAAGAAGCCTGCTCCTAGGCTTTCACCTCCAAAGCAACTGACCATAGCTGTAGGAGCAGTGCTGTCATCTACTTTCAGGAGCATGTCTTCTTACTTACATAAGATATACTTTCTTATGTAGGTCCCATGTAGTCCTTTTATTGTTGATCCTGAATCACAAAAAGCTGCTGAGTGCTTATCTTCCTCTACAGCTTCTGGTATCAGTCAGAGTTAGATACAGGATGCCCAGCCAGGAAGATCTCAACTGTGCGCCAGCAATCCTTTCCAATGTTCCCACAAAGTATCAGACACATAGACGAGGAAAAACTTGCATGAGCACAGAATCTGCAAGTTCCAGGCCAGCTGTAAGGACTACAAGAGGTGAGTTTTTCTGCTCAGTGGGGACACTGACTGCACATGTCAACCAAATTTGGAAGTTAATGGCTGATGATAATGAAGTTTCCCTAGCACTCAGGGTATTAAATTACCAGCCAGAGACACCTTCACGGTGACTTGTGCAATCACAGGTTGATGGACTTAAGCTCAAAGTGCAGTGAGAGCTTAGGAGCAGAGAGCATATGGTACCACAGAAAGGCCACATTGCTCAATCCCCAACACAATCTGCCCGCAATTCTGTTGGATAGAAGGGTGTGAGGGAAAAAATAGTCTCAAGAATAGCTCCAGGTGGCATAAGGAATCCCTCTGCCATTCCCCATGCCTCAGCAGTATCTCAGAAGCTGACACACACAGGCTGCTTCTGCTGACAGTGCAGACATGCCAGCCAGGTTCATAGAATCATAGAATCACCAAGGTTGGAAAAGACCTAAAAGATCATCCAGTTCAACCGTTCACCTATTCCCAACAGCTCCTACTAAACCATGCCCCTCAACACAACATCCAGTCTTTCCTTGAACACCCCCAGGCTCAGTGTCTCCACCACCTCCCTGGGCAGTCCATTCCACTGCCTGACCACCCTTTCTGAAAAGTAATACTTCCTGATGTCCAGCCTGAATCTCCCCTGTCATAGCTTGAAGCCATTCCCCCTGGTCCTATCACTAATGACACGAGAGAAGAGGCCGACCCCCAGCTCACTACAACCTCCCTTCAGGAAGTTATAGAGAGCAATGAGGTCTCCCTTGAGCCTCCTCTTCTCCAGGCTGAACATTCCCATCTCCTTCAGCCTCTCCTCATATGGCCTGTGTTCCAGACCCCTCACCAGCTTTGTTGCCCTCCTTTGAACACGTTCCAGGGCCTCAATATCTTTCTTGCAGTGAGGGGCCCAAAACCGGACACAGTACTTGAGGTGCGGCCTCACTAGCGCTGAATACAGGGGAACAATCACCTCTCTGCTCCTGCTTGCAACGCTGTTTCTGATGCAAGCCAGGATGCCACTGGCCTTCTTGGCCACCTGGGCACACTGTCGGCTCGTATTCAGCCGAGCATCAATCAATACCCCCAGGTCCATTTCCTCTATGCAGTCCTCCAGCCACACCGCCCCAAGCCTGTAGCGTCGCCTGGGGTTGTTGTAGCCAAAGAGCAGGACCCAGCATTTGGCCTTGTTGAAACTCATCCCATTGGCTTCAGCCCAGCTCTCCAGCCTGTCCAGGTCCCACTGTAGGGCCTCGCTACCCCCAGGCAGATCCACACTTCCAGCCAATTTGGTGTCACCTGCAAATTTACTGAGGGTGCACTCGATGCCCTCATCGAGGTCATCAATCAAGATATTGAAGAGGACAGGCCCCAGCACCGACCCCTGGGGAACACCATTCACAACCGGTCGCCAGCTGGATTTGACTCCATTTACCACCACTCTCTGTGCCCGGCCCTCCAACCAGCTCCTTACCCAGCCAAGAGTGTATCCATCCAAGCCTCTGACTGCCAGCTTCTGCAGGAGAATGCTGTGGGAGACAGTGTCAAAGGCTTTGCTGAAGTCTAGGTAGACCACATCAACAGCCTTTCCCTCATCCACCAGATGGGTCACTAGATCATAGAAGGAGATCAGGTTGGTCCAGCAGGACCTGCCCTTCACGAACCCATGCTGGCTAGGCCTGATCCCCCGGTCACCCTGCACATGCCGCATGATCTCCCTCAAGACAATCTGCTCCATAACCTTCCCTGGCACCGAGGTCAGGCTAACAGGCCTGTAGTTCCCCGGATCCTCCTTACGACCTTTCTTGTAAATGGGAGTCACGTTGGCAAGCCTCCAGCCTTCTGGGACCTTACCAGCCAACAAGGAGCGCTGACAGATGATGGAAAGTAGCTCGGCTCTCACCTCTGCCAGTTCCCTCAGCACTCTTGGGTGGATTCTCATCTGGCCCCATTGACTTGTGACAGTCCAGTTGGAGCAGTAGGTCTCTGACTGCTTCTTTCAGAATCACAGGGGTGTTAGTGTGCTCCCCAGCCGAGATTATCAGGTCAGAGAGAGGAGTATCCTGAGGATAACTGGTCTGACTTTTAAAGACAGACGTAAAGAAGGCATTCAGAACCTCTGCCTTTTCTGCCTTTTTCTGCCTTTTCCTTATCCTCAGGTTGGGGATGATGTTCCCTGCTCCACGAGGAAGCAACAGCAAGCCTCTTGTACACCTCTGGAAAGGTCTCCATACAAGACCATCTCTAATTGCCTTGCAGGATGAGGCTCCTTGACTTGACTCACATTAGCATCTGCAAATGAGTCTCACTCAGAGCTGCGCAGAGAAAGCACAAGTCTAAAGACTTTAGACTTGAGCTTTAAAGATTACTCAGGACATCAAGCACATTGCAGATAACTAATTGGAGTCTGTACATCTTGCCAAGAAAGTTGCAGCAAAAACACAGACACTCTTCCCATAACAAACAGCAACATTTCTGCCATGGGCTGGGTTTGTTTGGTTCTTATTTCATAGCCTCTAGAAGTGCAAGTCAGTCTGGTGAGTAGGTTCATTGGGGCATGTGGGGCAGTAACACAGCCAGCAAAGAGACATCCTTTGTGGAAAAGCAGAAGGTCCCACTGCAGAGCTCCACTACTTTTCTCAGAGGCCTGGGAATAGCCAGTGGGGCTCAGCTCCAGGTTGTCCTACATCCACAGGATGCTATTAGCCCATGACTGCACAGCTGGTCATAACTGTACAGGAGCTTGAAAAAGTTCAAAGAAACCTTTTCAGACCTACACTGGTACAACATCTTTCTTGGATAAATGAAGGGTCACAATGCACGTGGAGGAATAACAAACAGATTGGGGTAAAGAGTCAACCTTAGTGTTAAATGCCCTTTGAATTCAAGAAAAAAAACACCAGGGACTTTTTTCCCCATTTGCTGAGGATCAGGCTTGAAGACTTTTGAGAAGCATTCAGCCCCCCTGGCCAATCTGTTGTCCTGCCACAGCCCACTTTCACCTGCAGACAGAGGAATCCAGCAGTCACCTCGAGGCGCCCCCCAATTCAGCAATGCTTTGGGTACTTACTCTGTAGCCATCTTTCTTTCCTCAGCTTCATTTTTTCTTTTTTTGATAGAAGTGTTTTTTCTTCCAAACCTAGAGAAAAAGGGAGATGTGAGTGAGATGAGGACTGGTTCTGTACACCAGTTCTCTGTTGGGCTCATCATAAAGACAGATTAGCAGAAGCAGCAGCACAGGCACTATTTCCTTAGGCCAGCTAGTTATCTTTGAGAAAGGCTTCTCAAGAGAACTCTCCCTCTTCTTGTCTGCATTCTCACAGTAACCAGGCCTGAGCAGCTGACATCTCCTGAAAGCTAGCCATGACTTCTGATCACTCCCCAGTTGTCCACACAGTGAGATGAGTTGCCACAGATCTCAGTTAGGCATTATTTCCTTGTTGAGACTGCATGAGCAGCAGGACTGCATGATTGCCAAAGCAAGATAAACTCAATAAACCAGTGAGGACAGACTTGGAGAGCCTACAGTTACCAGAAGTAGAAGCAAAAAAGCCAGTTTCAATTTGAAAATGTGCAGATCAATAGAACCATAAAGATGAGTAACACACTGTGGGCACATGAGGACTGAAGGAATGGCTTCCTGACGTGGCTACTGTGAGCAGCAGCCCATCCTCCATATCTGCCCAGACAGCACGTGGCAGGCAGCAGGACTGGGAACAGCCTGAAAAGCACAGGTCTGTGGATCAGAAAAAGGCTCACACACACTCCATACTAATTTCAGTATCTCTAAAACAGCTGTTGCTCACTGATTTCCAATACCAAGGGGAAAAAAAAGAGAAGTTTTTACTGGAGATGCATTGCAGATACTATACAATTTTATCTTATCTTTAGTGTTTAAAAATAAATGTTTAGTCAACTTTTCTCCTGAAGCATCCTGTAAATACTGCTACAGGAATGCTAGTAGAGAAATAAGCTCCTCAAATACTGCTTCTCTCAGCTTTGGCTATTCTCAAGCCTGAAAAGGAGAAAAAAAAAAAAAAAAACCCTTCAAAGAAAATTCAAAGAAATTGGATAAATGAATTCAATAGAACTCTGAAAACATTTCACTGATGACTTTTCTGAAGCTTCAAATCTTGCACAATGATTTAAATAAAAGCTGAATCAACACTTAACGACTCAATGCAGGAAGATCAGAAGCAGCCTGATGGGGTGGGAAGACCATTTCAGAAGGGTAACAAAAACAAGTTGAGTTTGAGTTTCCAAAGGACACAGCGAATCCAGCTGTTGTTTTCATTGCCTCTTGTCCCACAAAACAATGTTAGTGCAATTAATGTACCTAAGAAGTAAGAAATAAAACCATACCTAAAACAACCGACTTAGATAAGCTGCCATCAGCTGCCCCCTTCCCTGTGATTTAGTGGGCTCTGGGACTCCTTCGAGTCTCCTCACCAAGTTGTCTAAACCTTGGGCTGTAGCCCCCAGAGGCCCCTCTGCAGCCAAAGGACAGCTGAGTGCCAGCAGCCTGCTGCTTGCCTTCCCTGAAGGCTACCTGCCTTCATGCGTCTGACTTCTGCTCCAGCCAGGATTAGTGCTGTATATAGCAGCAAAGATCCAGACCAAGTTGTGCACATAGCATCTGCCTCCTGCTGTAGCTGCACAGCCACCACAGCCAACATCCCGCTATCCCCATCCAGCACTGCAAATCCCTACGATTTCACTGCCAAGGAAGCAAGGACGGATCAAGGAGGTCAAAATGTGAACAGCAAAACTGCATCCCAGCAGTGTGTGAGTGGCCGCTGGGACTGGAAGCTTCTTTCTCCCTGTACTTTGTGCAGACCCTGGCTGTTTGAGCACTGCCAGCTTAGGAAAGCAGCGGTGCTGTAGTGACACGTCCCCTTGTCTGAAAACATGCTCATTACTTCATTAGAGAAACAGTGCCAAGTGGGATTTGTTAGTGAAAAAAATTTCAGCCAGCTGGCCAATTCTAGTAATAACATCAATTCTAATATTTATTTTTTTCTCCCTAAACAGCAGCAGAACATTTAAGGAAACACAAAAGCTGTTTTCTTGGCAAGAGCCCAAACTCTTCGCCAGCAGGAGGACTGAGGACTGAGTGCCTGCAGCCGCAGCAGTGTGGGGTTATGCAGGGATGGGCAGCAGAGCTGCAAAGCCCCAGGGCTTTGCAGCTGTCTGGAAAGAGCTGCCTGTTTGCACCACCGAGGTTCCAGCCTCCTTGTGCCACAAGGCATTCAGCTCCAACCTGGGAAGGTATAGGAACCAGACCAGCTCATCAGTCCCCACCCCAGGGAGGGCACTCCCTCTTCCAATCATGTGTAGGGCACAGCTAGTCTGTATCAAGCCCAGTGCTGTGCAGGAACAGCGCTGCATATTACACACGTTTTCATTCCAAGCATCCTTCCTCACCCATCACAAGGGTGCCTTTTGCTTTTCTTTTTTTTTTTTGGCGCTGGAAGTTACCAAGTGGTATTTGGCAAATTCCAGTCACAGCACCAAGTGCCAAAGCTAGTGGAAAATCCCTGGAGAGCTGCTCTTAGCCGGGAGGCAGCATTTGGTTAGCTAATTAACAGTGCAGGCTGTCCCCAGGTAGTCTTTATTTTTATTTAGATTGCAAGTACCTCTGAAATCAGAGCCAGACTGCAGATCCATTTGAATTATTTTTCCATTAAATCAGAAGTGCTCAGGTCCCCATCTCCCTCCAGCCCATTCTACATGTAATTTAACAAATGCTGTCTTTGAAACTTTGTTCATGGGGAAAAAAGGATTATCAAAGCCACCTACCTTAGCTGAGGTAAGTTTACACATTGCAAGCTTGATAATTATTCCTTTTAATGAGGATGTGTTTTCCTTCCCTCTGATCACCTTAAACATATGCAGATTGAAAAACAGCAACATATTTTTGTCCACTGCAGCAAGAGTTTTATACTATCCCTGGTGACCCTCAAGATTCTGCCTGCATGTCACAGTTACTTTCACAAAATTTCACTTCTAAATAGTTATGGGTTGGGCTTTTAGGTTGTTGTTGTTGTTGTTTTTAAAGGACTGCTGTCTCAGTCTTTACACGAAAAACATATACAGCCCCGAAACACATACAATCCAAATTTATCATTTCTAGGCATTCAGAAACAAGCCCAGCATAGGTATGGGGCTAGGCTAAAGGCTTCTTCCAGAGTCTCACTTTGGACAGCACAATGAAGAATGTGCAAACATGGTCCTTTGCAGGCATTTTTAAACAGTTCCAGGCAATCATGCAGCTTCAAGGACTCAGTTGTGAGCAAAAATATCAGACATAAATCTGCACCTGTGCTACACTGCACTGTAACAGAGAGTTCTGCAACACTGGCATCTGTTCCCTCCTCACAAAGCTGCAGTGAAGCACCAAGTCCCCTTCTGGTAAGAGCTATTAAAAATCAGCAGATAGCATTATGCAGCATTCCCAGAACACGGGTGATAAGTAACAGTGAAGCTATTGCTGCTCAAAACATAATATTTTGGCAAATATTTTGGGTACAGTATAAATTGTAGTTAAACAACAACAGATGTGTTAATTTCAGCCCCAGTTGGTTAACAGCAGCAAAAATGAGCAAACGCCTACGGGAGCAGAATAAGTCCCCTGAAGAAATTCAAAGTTTGCATCCAAACACAGAAGGCTGAGTGGGTTTTCTGGCTGTTGGTTTTTTTCATTTGCTTGTTTAATATAGCACAGCATCACTTGTAAATTGCCTGCTACCCTTTTTCACTGAAAGGGCCTGGGGGCTAGCAAACCACTGCAGCATTTCTCCCCAGCTCCCAGTGAAAACACAATTGTGATGTGACCTGCTAGATGCCCATGCAGAATGTTAAGAGTGCCAGAAAGAATGTCAGCCAAATGTCCCCAGCAATGAGGTACTGGCTGCAGCAGCGCTCCATGGCTGTCCTCACCCTGCCCAGAGTCTGAGATCCCAATTAGGTGACCTCCATCTCCACTAGTCCAAAACCAGGGTACATGGGACTGGTGGGATCTGGACCTGAGGTGGCAAGGCCAGCAGTAAGGGGCTGATATTCAGCCTCTTTGCTCCCTTACTCTCAGAGAAGCTCCCACAGACTGCTTGGTGCAGTGGCTTTTACCCAGCCCAAGTCCTGCCATCCTGAGTACGCTCTGAAAACAGCACTGAAGAGAAGATGACAGCCCGTCATCTTCTGGGACAGGACAGCTTTCACCATGGATACAGCATTTGCTTTTTATGTTCCAAAACAAGCAACATTATTTTTGATTGTGTTTTATCATTTCATCAGCATGAGAGCTTTCCTTCTTCCCCCACTGAGAGAGGCATCCTATTTAAAATGGGATCTGTGTTCCTGATCCTTTCAGCTCCCCTGGTTAAGCAAAGCCTCCTTCCAAACTCCACTTCACACTCAAACCAGGAGGAGCAACATGACTCACATCCTTGCACTTACGCCGCACCTCTGTCAGGCCTGGGAAACATTCCTGGGCTGCATCCAGCTTCAACAAGGGCACAAAACCTCCCTCTGCAAAAGACTCATCTCCAGCTAGCCTCAACCAGTGACAGCCCTGAGGCCAGAGCAGATCCCTTTGGGGAGGTGGCCAAAAACATACAACGTGCACAGCAGTCTGCAAAAATAAACTCTGAAGACAAACTGTCTTCCCAAGTTGCATTTTCAGCAGCCCCAGCCACTTCAGAGAAGAGAAGCAGCTGGGCTTTCTGAGCTTTCCTCATCCCAGAAGAAGCCTGAGGATCAAGACTTAAAGAAGTGCAAGATTGGAAACGAGACAGGAAGGTACTTCAGGCAGCATCAGGGGTACCACCAAGCATTCTCTACAGGAAATGAGTCTGAATTGCTCAAGTTATTCTTTAGGAAATACAAACTACTGCAACTCTGCCAGCTCTCAGGTTAGAAAGCTGGTGAACTTATACACCAGAATCAAGCACTACAACAGAGGCAAAGCAGCTTCCTCTGCTGTAATTCAGACAATGGTGCTACACAAAGCCTTTATTAAGTCCTGACTCTATGTGGGGACACACCATGGGAGCACTTCACTTCCCAAGGTTGCTCTCCTTCCCCAGGAGACTGCAGCCAGCCCTACTACAAGTTCCTCAAAGCAGCAGCACACACACCCCT